TGTGGCGACTATTTTGGCCTAATTCTCACAAAATAGACTTTTATTTTCCTTCTTTTTATTGTCTCTCTTGAATGATTTCATTATAGTGTACACGTGTAATTTGGCATGAGACGTGGAAATGATGGACAGTGATTAGTATGCTGTTATAAGATTCATCTGTTGTTGCCTCAACTTGCATAGCTAACTTTAGTTATTTTTGTCTTACTCAGGCAGAAATGCCTGCAGATAGTGGATATCCTGCTTACCTCGCTGCACGTTTAGCTTCTTTCTATGAACGTGCTGGAAAAGTAAAATGCCTTGGAGGACCCGAACGTACTGGTAGTGTCACAATTGTTGGTGCCGTTTCTCCACCAGGAGGAGATTTCTCAGATCCTGTGACATCTGCAACCCTTAGCATAGTTCAGGTAACACAATACTTTCAACTGTGCTTATCAAAATGGAGTAACTACTGGGGAAGCAAGATTGCCTGAGAGTATGTTATGGAACAATAATAACGGAATTAGGGATTTTAAGAGGGGTAGTTAAGAAATAGTTTAGCTGTCAGTTAATAGCCATTAGAATTCTGCATATAAATACGGACTTATTTTGCCATTTGTATTTGTGTTGTTATCGTTTGAATAATACAGTTTGCTTTATTCCATTCCTAATTTCCTTGTTCTCTCTGCTCTGCTCTCTCTCTCAAGTCTCTTTATTCTCTCTTCTTCCCCTTCTCTTTCCCCTCTACACCTGTCAATATTACAAAGGCGTATCAGAGTATCTTTGCTGATTCCCATATATTCTACAACCCAATTTAGGCACAAGTTTTGGCCAAAAAAAAAATCTAGGCAATAAGTGACAATTTCTGCAGATTTTTCTGCTGTTTATTCTTCCTTAACCTATTCGATCATTATATGAGTTGATTTTTCTATTTGGCAGGTTTTCTGGGGTTTGGACAAAAAGCTTGCCCAGAGGAAGCATTTTCCTTCTGTGAACTGGCTGATTTCCTATTCGAAGTATGCTGGTGTATGTACTTAGATCTATTGCGTAATTTTTTATACTCATCCTTCACTGTCTAGCCTTCTTCATTTGTGGCAACTGTTGATTCTACACCTTCTTTTACTAATTTTTGTACTGGTTCCTCCAGGCATTGGAATCCTTCTATGAGCAATTTGATCCAGATTTCATAAACATTAGGACAAAGGCTCGTGAAGTGCTGCAGAGAGAAGATGACCTCAATGAAATTGTCCAGGTATGCTACATTATTAGTTCTATCTCTTGAATTTGAATTGATAAAGTATTACAAGACTCTACTATCATAAACTATCATAACAAATTAAAAATGGGAAAATGACAAAAATACTTGTTGAATTTCAAAATAACAAATAAGTGATTTTGACATGTCAAAACCGAAGAAGAGGCATCATAACATGAGAACAGACTGTTATGCAGTTCAGTCTGTTAGTTGACCTTTTAACAATAGTAATATGGTAATGAATGGAACTTGAAATCATTATATGGCCTTCTTTTTTTTTTTTTTTTTTTAAATAAACATTAGATGGCCTTCTGTTGTTCTGGCTATACTTGTCTGGAATCCTTTTGTGTTTTTTAAGTAGTCAACTGAAGCGGTTTGTTTTCATCTAATATTGTGGCCTGGCGCAAAACACTGCAGCTTGTAGGCAAGGACGCTTTAGCTGAAGGAGACAAGATCACGTTAGAAACTGCAAAGCTTTTGAGAGAGGATTATCTTGCTCAGAATGCTTTTACTCCGTAAGTGCCCCTGTTTTATGTTTCTTAATTTTTTGGGATTAACTTTGTAAATGCTTTGAGTCCTGGAACTGGTTTTAAGTGTTACTTGTCTTATACCTTTGATGTGATCTTGACAGATATGACAAATTCTGCCCCTTCTATAAATCTGTTTGGATGATGCGCAACATTATCCATTTCTACAATTTGGCAAATCAGGTAATTTTTCTAGCTACCAACAACTAATTAGGCAATGGCATGATTTCCATTACTGATCAGAAAATTGAAAGCAAAAGGAAGTGTCACTCCATTGCCCATTATGGGGTGACCCATTTTCCATTTATATTGTGTAGGCGTTCGGGTTCTTTAATGGTTTGATTTCTATTCCTTTGTCCTTCCCCTGAATTTTGAGTCGAGGAGCTGAATGATCATATCTTTATGTATCGCCACATTGTCCATAGCTCAGTCAAAACTATTACTTTCGCTTGAAAAGGCATTTTCATTAGGTTAATTAAATTGCATCCAAATGGCTGATCCCTTGACCTGTGGATGGCTGAATGTTCAGGCAGTGGAGAAGGCAGCTGGTACAGATGGTCAAAAGATAACATACACCCTCATCAAGCATCGTTTGGGAGATCTCTTCTACCGTTTAGTGTAAGTAACCTTATTGCAAGACAAAAGATTACTTAAATTCAACATTTGATTGAAAGTAGGCCAGAATCTGTTCCGCAGGTCGCAGAAATTTGAGGATCCAGCAGAAGGTGAAGCAGCTCTGGTTGACAAGTTTAAGAAGCTTCATGAGGACCTGACCAACGGTTTCCGCAATCTTGAGGACGAAACCCGATAGATTGTATAATTGTAGAGTGCAATTGTGTTAGGGGTTCTCTGTCCTTTGAAAGCGGCCATCAGGGATCCTGTGGTTGGGGTTCCCGTTTGTTCGAGTTGTGTAGGAATCCTCATTAGTTCGTTCATATCACGTCATTTTCCTGTTGCTGGTTTGGCTATTTATCCATTTGCTTGTGGAGCGACTATCGTATCTTCTGTTCATTCCCTCAGGTTATTTATGTAGAAGAAAATAAGAATGAACCATTTTTTTCCCATCTGTATTTATACGAATAAGTTTTTTTGTTAGAAATTGAAATGCTCATGGAAAGCTGAGATTCTTGAGTATTTTCCGTATTTATGCAGTATTTGGCACTTATACTATCATGTATTCTCATATTTGTTCTTTTGGAGCGGAAGCTACACAGCCTCATCTTAGATTTTTTTTTTTTTTTTGGTGAAAACCTAATCTTACATATAGTTGGAGTTAAAAAGCCACAAAAGTTAGAATCATGCAAAAGAAAAAAAAACCCCAAACATGAAACCGCCAAAAACGTGGGTTTGGTGGAATCAAGAACTCCCTCTGGCCTTTCTTTCCGACTTTCATACACCAAGTTACAAATAATCAAATTATGTAAATCAAAACATATGAATAACTATGAATAAATCCTGCATTTAAGAATAATTGAGGAAAAAAAAGAGTATATCTAACTAATTAAAGGTAAACATAAAAAACATGAATCAAATTTTCAAAAATCAACACTCTCCCAAAAACTGTAACCAAGATATTTTTTGGGCCTGACCTGTAACTAAGATAACTACAATGGGTGGCTGTTTTTGACCCCAAAAATAACCAGAGATTTGCCATTAGGTCTTACTTAAGGGAATTAAATAAAAAAAGTCTTTTGAAATCATAAAATTATTCTAAAGTCCTAAAAGACTTTTTTACAATAAATTTTATTTGTTTAATTACCAAATTACCCTTCTTCTTTTTTCTAAGTTTGTATTGACAAGTGAAAGAGTAGTGATTGATAACTTATGGTGCAGAAATTGACAACTATCGCGGCTAGTTTGACAACTTATGCTTTACATTTTGTGATATGATGAGAAAATGTGTTGTAAAATCAGCCGCGATAATTGTCAATCGTTACACTCTAAGTTGTCAACCACTGCTTTTTTAGTTGTCAATGCAAATTTAGGAAAAAAGAAGAAGAAGAAGAAGAAGGATAATTTGGTAATTAAACAAATAAAATTTATTGCAAAAAAGTGTCTTGGGATTTTAGAATAATTTTCATGATTTGAATGGATCTTTTTGTATTTAATTCCCTTGGGTGGGACCTAATTGCAATTTTTCCAAATAACTAACAATAAATCCCAATCCCAATCCCAATAACAAGTGAGCAATTATTATTTTCTATTTGAAACTTTTTGTCACTTCCTACCTGAAACTTACAAATCAACAATTGTTAGCTTCTACCTAAAAATTTTGTACCTAAGGGCCTGTTTGGTTTGAGGGGAGGGTAGGAGAGAAAGGGGAGGGTGGGGTGGGGGAGGGGAGGGGAAGTTTTATCCTCACCTTGTTTGGTTTGATTAAAAAAAAAAGAGAAGAGGATATTTAATGATCCCTTATTTGGTTCAAGAAGGAGAGGGGATGAATAGTAATAATCAATTTACTATTTTACCTTTACATATTAGTTTATATTTTTTATTGATATATTATATAAATTAATTTACATCTTAATTTAAATCATATAATTTAATGAAAATTCAGTCTTATCATGTTAATATGTGCATTAAAAAATTGGTACAGTAATTTTTTATTCTAATTAATATAATAATATATTTAAAATAATCAAAATAACAAATTGTATATGCTCTAAGAAAAATAAAATTTTATTCTCTTTAAGCTATCCTTTTTTTTCAACTTTCAAATATATTTAATAAATAATATATTTATAAAAAATTAATTTTATAATTTTATAATATTATAATTTTTTATTTAAATAGTTTTTTATATATATTTTTTTAATTATAATCATTTATATTTTTTATTTTTTACATAGGATAATATATTTTGTTTGAAATATATATTATAATAATATATTTTATAGGTAGTAGTGGAATATTAAAAAAACAATAAGGATATAATGGTCTAAAAATTTAACTTACCTCCAAATTGAGGGTTTTCGGAGGGGAGAGAAGGGGAGGGGAGGGAGGGAGCATTTTAGCTTCCCTCCCTTCTAAAATTTCTAACCAAATAAGAAGAGAGACTCATTTTCCCTCCCCTACCCTTCCCTTAAATCAAACAAACCCTAAAAATTGTCATTATAAGTTACTTTGTTGACTTTTAGTAATCACATTCCTTCTGAAATTTCATAGCAATTCTTTCTTTCCTTGTTTTTCTTCCCTATTTTTTTGTTTTTTTTTTTTTTTGGTGGGGGGAGGGGGGTTGGGTATTGACGCGAAAGGGAGTAGCCGTTGGATTATCAGTTGTTACCAAAACACAAAAAGGTCCTGGCTTATTTCTAAGCCAAATTTCACCAAGTGCATTACAAAACATTCCAAGATAATACGTTCAAAAGTGGGTGTCAAAAGCCATTGTGCACAACACAGAAATTACACATCATAGAGAAACATGAAGGGTGCGATTCATACATGTACACCTTGTTCGATCACCCAGGGCCTACTTTGGGGATGTCATAGTGCTCGCTCATGTTTGCCAAATACTGATTGAAATCCTGAATTCTGTCACGGTGAGATTTATTGGAAATCTTAGCCAATCTATTAACATCAAGTTGTTCTCTTTGTTCTATGTATCGTCTCTCGGCCGGCGTAAGATGATCATCATAATGAGGAGCCTTCTCTTCCCCTGTCGATTTGTTCACATCATCATTGTCTTGATCATTAGGATCGTCAGCTTGTTCTGCACTTCCACCTGCATTAGAGAACATAAATGATACAAAGTATATCAGACACTTCATGACATGCTGCAGACAGAACTCATTTTATGGATTAACCATTCAACACTTTATGGCCAAAAAAAAAAAAAAGTCAAATTGATAATGTCATTTGCACAGCAACTTGCTAAGCCCCGAAAAGTTATCTGACATGTAACATTAAAATGGAAGAATGCCACGTCTCTAGAATTTTGGCTCAAGACCGTTGCCCTCTATTATTCATACTTTCTTATCAGTGGGAGGGATCGTGATCCTTCCTCATTCTAACAAAACGTATCTCTTCTATTTATGGGAAGAAGTTAAGCACAAAAGAAAAGAGATTAAAGCAACACCAGAAATGACTAAGCATAATTTTGTTAACCAGCGTGAATTAGGTTCCAAGGAAAGGAAGTCTCACCCGTTACCAGGAACAACCATGGCATCAATCACCATTTTTTTGAGCAGTACGTTCAACAGAGAAATTAAATGTTACTTTTTATCCCTGACCATAAATTCCATTGGTCCTGTTACTTCAAAAATCCGGCATTTTCTCATTGTGATTTTCCTTGAACATAAGCAAATCAACTAACCTCCCAAATAAGTAGAGCATATCCTATAAAGTTGATAACCTCACATCAACCCAATTCCATGAACTTTTACTTTATTACTATTATTTTTTTGTGGTGATACCATCAGCCATTTACTACTTCATATGAAACATCACCAACTGGGATAAACCATTTACACGACCTCAGCTCAAGAATCGCCTGATCAAATAACTAATTGGCTGATAATTTATAGTTGTCAGCTGGCAACACTTAACCTTGAATGACAACAACCACTTTTGTAATTTGATTGAAGACCTGACTTAATATAAGAATATAAGATATAATGAATCAATGTTCTAGTAAAAGAAACCAACCTGCCAAAAGTTCATTTTCCGTGGATTCTATGATTTGATCTTTATTCTTATTCTTCTTCTTTTTCTTCTTCACTCCACCAGCCTTCACATCCAAGGCCTTTCCCTTGAGCTTCAATTTCCCACCAACAACATTGTCAAAAGCTGACATCTCTGTCAAGTAATCAACAAAATCAAAGTGATTTTGTTTACCAAGACCAGTTAAAGTGATCACAATCACCGACGGGTGATGACTGTATCATTAAATCTTAAGTCTAAAGCACAATGAGAGAATGAACCATCGACATCTCATAAAGATAAGGTAATCTTGCCGTAAAGAAACACAAAAGGGTAACACAATTAAGACCGCAATTTAGCGTTACAACTCCATGTTTAAACTCTTGATGTCCATGCGATAAACCGACCATGAAAAACTCCTTAACCTTGAACTGACTGCTGAGAAACCTCAACATAAATGTTGGAGAAAGCAAGATCTAGGTTATAGAAAAAAGAATGAAAAATCGAAAACACCGTCACGACTTCGGTCTAATAAAGAATAAAGTCTAACGAATCTATACATCCAAAAATTTTGTGAACTTTACTAAAGGAGAAACTTAGATTAACAAGTTGAGTTTACAAGGAAAAATAATTCAATATTTCACCACAAAAACACGATTGTTTCCAAGATGAATTCTTAGTGGAAAGGGGGAAAAAAAACAAGAACAACATATTAAGAAATGGAAAGGTAAACATGGAGATGAAAGCAGAGGATGATCCAAACCTTATCGAATGGGAGATAAATCAAGGCTTTGGACGTCGGAGGTCACAAGTAGGCTGAAATCGAAACGAGAACGAGGAGAACGAAGATCTTCAGTTTGATTCCGAACGTCGTCGTACGAGTCGGTGATTCACCAAAAGATATTTTTGGGCCACACGGATGGAACGTATGGAACGTATGCACAGGGAATAAATCCAAACCGGATGCCCTTTTTTTCAACCTTTTTTAAATCACACATGGGCCAAGTTGGAAGCCACATTTGCAATTTTTATGAGTGCTAAGTAATATTATTTCGCCATATAGGATGATTATTTGATTATTTAAAATAAGCTATGTATGATAAGGATTAAATTATTAAATATAAAATAGTTTAAGGATTGAATTCTAAGTGAGTCACAAATTCAGAAAGTGAGTTATACTAAATCACAATTGAAAGACTGAGTTATAAGTGAGTTAATAGTTAAAGGGAAAATTACTGTAGAGTCCCACAAAAAACATTTTACTACTAAAAGGTTCCATGAAATAGCAAAACAACTCTGAAGTCCTTAGGGACCAAAGTGTGAATAATCTGAAACGATCAATTACGAATTTGTCCTTAATGACTAAGAAAAAAAAATTCACCCATCTGTTTGAATCCCACTCTTCTCCTTTAGCCCTTATCTCCTACTCCATCGGCATCTTGCAACATGACCTCTCCACTATTCTCACCAAGAGTCGCAGTCGTCTTGGTCCTCTCATGACAATCAAGGTCTTCCTTAAGAAGCTGTTCTCAAGGCCATTTTCAGGTTTTTATTTTATTCTTTGCTTGTAATTATTTAATTCATCATATAGCAATTAATGCTCTGTTTCTGATGAAAAAAGATGAAAATGACAGGTTTTTACTGTCATAGCTCCTGTAATGTGATAATTAAATGTCTTGTTAATGGGTACATTCAAAGTTGTTAATGTAACTGTATGACTTGTCATTAACAAGTGATTGAGACAGGTTGATATGAAGGATGACAACTTCAAGTGGGAAGCATTTGTTCTATTACCTCCATATAGGAGGACAATTTATTAATGATCTAGAAGGTAAAATGCAATATGTTGAAGGTGGTATGAGAACAAGAATAATAAAGGAAGGCACATCATATGAAGAATTTAGAACAACAGTAGCGTCAATTGTGGGAAAAGAAAGTAATGGAATGGTTATGAAATTTATAGTAACCTTTGATGAGTATACATTTATAGACCTTGTAAATAAAGTGTAAATTTGGTGTAGTTACATTGTATATATATATGAAGTGGTAAATGACATCTGATTATAATATGATATAATATTATATCTCCATTTTGCTATACTTATCAATAGGTTGTCATGGACTTGTTATCAGATGTCGTGGAGTCTGTTATTAGCAGTCTGAATTAAGTTACTGATATAAAGTGACAATTTCTCATATTTGCCTTGTTTAATGATTTCTTAACGCATGATTTTAGTGTTCAAGTTGTAATATGATATGATTTAGTTATAATTAATTTTTGTAGAAGCTGTGGTATCCCACAAAGTGAGTTGTTATGAGCACTGTCGAGGTTGTTAATCACGTCTCCTCGGGTTGTCAACAGTCGTCGTTGAGGTTGTAAATGAATCTTTGCAATAAAAATCTGCGGTAATCCTATTGGGTTCACTTAAAACTATTAATGATTTCAAAATGCTTCCTATTATATTTTTAAGGTCGTTATATGTGCCGATAATACAATTTTTTTAGAAGTTGTGGTATCCCATAGAGTGAGTTGTTAGGAGCACTACTGAGGTTGTTAATCACATCTTCTCGAGTTGTCAACAGCTGTCGTTGAGGTTGTAAATGAATCTTTGCAATAAAAAATCTGCTATAATCCTATTAGGTTTACTTAAAGCTGTTAATGACTTCAAAATGTTTCCTATTATATTTTTAAGGTCGTTATATGTGCCGATAATATAATTTTTTAGAAGCTGTGGTATCCCATATAGTGAGTTGTCAGGAGCACTGCTGAGGTTGTTAATCACATCTCCTCGGATTATCAACAGCCACCGTTGAGATAGTAAATGAATCTCTGTAATAAAAATCTGTTGTAATCCTATTGGGTTCACTTAAAGCTGTTAATGACTTCAAAATGCTTTCATTATATTGTTAAGGTCATTATATGTGTTAATAATACAATTCTTTTAGAAGTTGTGATATTCCACAGAGTGAGTTGTCAAGGACACTGCTGAGGTTGTTAACCACTTCTTCTCGGGTTGTCAAAAGCCGCTGTTGAAGTTAAAATAGATCTGCAGAGAGGACATATATACCTATAATGTCATCATGGTTAACATTTGTTTATCTAGTTTTATTAAGTCTTCATTTCTGGACATGATCCGAGTTTGAAATGAAGAATTTCGTGGTTATCAAAACACATGAATGCTATTAAAAAAACTTCATAACCAGTAAACGATGTCAATACACATTAACATAAATTAACATTCAGCTGTCATTATATTGTCAAATAAAAAAAACTCTAAACTTTACATTCAGCTGCCATTATGCTGTCAGGTAAAAATACTAAATGTGTTCTTTACATTCATCTATCATTATGTTGTCAAATAGAAAAAAAACTAAATATAATATATGCTGGTTGTTTATTCTTTCCTCTTGCTTTGGGAGTTTCTTTGTAGCAAAGACAGATCACCATGCAAGTTGTTCTGATGATTTACAAGCCACCACAAGCATCTAACCTTCACGTCATGGATTTCTTGAGCGAAATACTCAGGCATTGTGTAGCTGTCATCACCATACTCACGTGTTAGATTGCACATGTACTTTTGCCCATAGGACTTCCTTGTCAATTTTGTCCTTTTTGTCAAATAGTGCTTGCTTCATTCTACGAAAAACTTGTAGAAACAATCTCTTTGCAAAAAAAAACAAAAAAAAGAACAAGTTTGACAGTAGTGAATGACAAATAATGAGCAGGCATTAAAAATCTTGACAGTAGTGAATGACAAGTAATCAACAGGCATGAACAATTTTAACAGTAGTGAATGACAAGTAATTAGTAGGCGTTAAAAATTTTGACAGTAGTAAATGACAAATAATCAGCAAGTATTAACAACCTTGACGGTAGTAAATGACAAGTAATCAACAGGTATTAATAACCTTGACAGTAGTGCATGACAAGTAATCAACAAGCATTAATTGACAATTTATCAAAACTAATTCTTTTCAGCCTTTCCATCTTATCTTCACTTTTCTTTAAGTGCTTGCAAACTTCCATAAATTATCCCGGAGCACACCATGTGTGGAAGGAAACAATATGATTCTTCCCTTTCTGTGGGACTCTAATTTCTTTAGTTTTTTCACCATATTGTTCTTTCTCTTTTTCTATTAACTTCCCCTAAGCCTTTATCATTCTTGTTCTACACCAGCTCTAACATATTCCATTTCACTTTCTACACCATTAATAAATTGTCCCCCTATATAGAAGTAACAGAACAAATGCTTCCCACTTTAAGTTGCCACCCTTCATATCAACCTGTCACAATCACTTGTTAATGACAAGTCATACAATTACATTAACAACATTTGATGTACCCATTAACAAGACATTTAACTATCACATTCAGGGGTTATGATAGTAAAAACCTGTCATTTTCATCCTTTTTCATCAAAAACAAAGTATCAATTGCTATCTGATGAATTAAATAATTACAAGCAAAAACAATAAAATAAAAAACCTGAAATGGCCTTGAGAACAGCTTGTTGAGGAAGACCTTGATTGTCATGAGAGGACCAAGGTGATCGCGACTCTTGGTGAGAATAGTGGAGAGGTCATGCTGCAGGATGTCGACGGAGTAGGAGATCAAGGCTGACAGAGTAAGAGATGAGGGCTGAAGGAAAATGGTGGGATTCAAATAGATGGGTGAATTTTTTTTTTTCTTTAGTCATTAAGGGCAAATTCGTAATTGATTGTTTCAAATTATTCACACTTAGATCCCTAGGGACTTCATATTTGTTTTGCCATTTCATGGGACTTTTTAGTAGTAAAATGTTTTCTGTGAGACTCTATAGTAATTTTTCCATAGTTAAAAGATGAAAAGATTAATTTTCTTACTTTTTTTTTTCGGGTAACAATTTTTTATAATCAAAACTAGAATCCGGGTATCTCATAGGAGAGAAATTTCTATCAACTATCAACTATATTCTTGAAAACTTATAATACCTGATTCGTTTGAAAATGCTTCGCGTATGACATTATTGAATCCGAATATATTCAATTAATGAGATTTAAATAACATATTGATTGAAATTTGAATATATTGAATTAAATGAGAAATATTATAAATAAATGAAATTTCAATTGGATGCTTAAATAAAGAAATTAATAATTAATTAGATTTAAAATTCTAATCAATTACATTATCTACCATAGCTCAAGATTTACTTTTTATAGGAGCATGATTTTTTTTATCATGATAATATTTATAATATTTATTATTCATGGTGGAATTTAATTATATCTATTTCCAATGAAAATAAATGGAACGGTTAATTTTTTAAAAAAATTATTTTCACTTCACTTTTTTTGTTTTGTAAGTCAAACAAAAGCCCAAAATCAAAATGAAGTTAAAAAATACTAGTAATTCTTTTAAAAAGGCACTGTTTTCTTTATATGCTTTTATTAACACTATAAAATTAATTAAAATAACATATTAGGAATAACTAAATTTAAAATCTTAGGATTCAGATTATACGAAACACAAAGAAGCAAGCTGTACAATTCCGGGGTTAAGAACAATTCAGCATTTCAACTTACTATAGTAATCAATATTTATAATAAAAATTGTAAAAATAGTTATCTTATTCTCAAATTGAGGAAGCAAGGATGGACCAAAATAAAATATGGGGACCAAGTTTTAAAAAAATTACTGACATATAATGTTTATCTTAACTACAAAACATAAGAGTTTCAAAGTTTGTTTTATTCATCAAAATAAAACGTCAATTTATTTTGTCTATCAACATATTAGTTAAGAAAACCTTATCAAAAACATTTTATCAGAAAAACCTTATACTCCTCTGGTCCTTAATATAAGACCTATTTAACTAATTTGATTAGATTAAGAAAGTTAGGTAAGTTAGTTAATTATAAGAAAAGTGACACATTTTTCCTAAAACATCATAATCATCTTTCTTAATATCCCCTCTCCCTCTTCTACTTGATTGTGGTTGAGGGAGTATCTATAGGGATAATTTAGAGGAAATCGATAAATAAGAGAAATAAACCTTATATTTAGGACCAAAACTAACTCAAGAATTGGGTTTTATATTAAGAACTGGAGGAGTAACAAAAAACCCCAAAAACATTGATGTGGCCTTAAAATTGTATTGAAACTAACAAGAGTTGGATCTAATAAAAAAGACTAACCTCTCATAACATGACAAATCAATATTCAAATTCCCACTAAGAGAGATACACGCATTCTGTACCCGACAATGTCTCGAATAGAATTATCCCCAACAACAGAATACATGTATGTAGCAAAAAAATTTGTATTTGTGCAAACTTGACCAATTTTTAGAGTGTGTGTGGCATATATTTGAATCTTGGTCAAAAACCTATAAATACTAAGACAAATATTTTCGGAGACATGAGGTTTATATTGATCTTTAATCACCTTCCTGAAATTTTACTCATCTAAATTTTGTAAACAAAAAAGAACATCAAATTTTATTATAGGGATCAGGAGCCAACACAGCACTTAATTAACAGAATATTTACCCACCCACACTCACGTAAGAGCTGTTAGTTTAGGAAGCAGTTCCTGTACTCATTGCCTCAGATTGATGAGCTTCAATCTAAATCCTCCTGCTCAAAATTAGACTGTCCTGATTTAACATAGTTCTATTTTTAATAATTTATAACTTTAATATATACAAAACTTAAAATAAAATAAACTTATAATTGTCTGTTTGCCAATAAGAATAATTTTAATTAAAAATTATTAGTCAAAAAATTTTAAATCTAAATTATTGAAACTATAGTTGAAGGTTTCAAATCTCATTATAGGGATAGGCACATGAAGCTTATCATTGCCATGAGCATCCAACCAATTGTCATGGTAATCTGGTTTCACCGCATTCCCATATGTGGTAAAAGCTTTCACCTTGAGAAAAGTATTTGGGTTAAAAACAAACCATAATTTTAAAAATAATTTTATATTATATGAAATAAATATTTGAGATAAGTTTCATCTCGATTTGTATGAAAACACTTTTAAAAAATGCCATCCTAATCTCCAACATTTATAAATGGAATAACTCCAGTACCATTTGCCCTCTATACTTTGAGATTATTCTATACTTCTAACAGACGATGCTCCCACTGTTCTCAAAATATATACTCCTCCGGTCCTTATTATAAAACCCCATTTAACTTTTTATTTGGTCCTAATTATAAGACCCCAATCCATTTTGTCTCTTATATTTATACATTTTTTTTCAAGATAATCCTTCTAATAATGATAGTTTTAGCCAATATACTTAATTAGCAAAGATATTTTAGGAATGACAACACTTATTTATTATAAATAACCAATTTAACTTACTTCTTTAATCTCCTCAAATAAGTCAATTGGGTCTTATAATTAGGACCGGAGGAGTATATTTAAAAAGAAAAGAAGGGTTTGACGGAGGGTTTCGAAGTCCTTCGCAAGACAATGTAAGCCGTAGAATCCAAAATTGAATCTTATCAAAATCCAAACATCATCCCAAATTAGCAAAGGTTTAAACTTCACGATTTCCCGGAGATTAGAGAGAAGTCGATGAAACTTGACAGAGGAGAAACCAGAATGCTGGTAAGATGCCCGATTTTGTAGAAACAATAGTCAGGGCCACATATTGGGAGTTGCAACCATGAGTCCATAACGATTTGACTAATTAAGGTGACTCATCAAACTTGATGACCAATGGCTGAATGACATGAGAGAAAATTTTCGAAATTTATAGATTAACTTTTTTCGAGAATAAATATTTAACTAGCCTAAAACACTTTTATATAAAAAATAATGGAACTTATGAATTAAACGCAAACTGGAAATGACCCTTTTTGTTGGTCATTTATCTGAGTACAAATCAAACCAGCCATTTAAAATAGTCTCGGACGCTTGCCTTGATTATATATGCATCAAAATGTATCTTTCAAAAACGCAATGCTAAAAAGGACCATTAAAAAAAAATTTTTGACTAAACTAATTCATACGTACGTAAACCTTTGCAACTGCAATTTCGTTTAACCAGATAAGACTACAACTAATCCTTCAAGTTAATCCTCAATGAAGCCACAGTAATGAAAGTTCCACAATCCTCGCATTAGAATGTAATATAGGAACAAGGGCAAAGAGGTGAACAAAGTAGGCACACATGGCATCCTTAAGAACATAGTGGACAAGGTTGAAGTAAAATCCTAAATCAACATAATCCTTTAGTAGATTCCCGGAATGATTTTATTAGGCACCTTGTTGCAATAGAGTTTCCAGTATTTACCATACCTGCATGCAGGGGAAATTTCAAATTTCATTCATAAAAATTCTGCTCAACTTCAAGGTCTTGGTGAGATCAAACGCAAGAACTTGAAATTCGAGCATTTATAATATCTGAGAGGCAACATGAATTAAGAAAAACTCTGCTAAATTAGACTTTAGAAGGCTAGCACTTCATTATTTCTTATCCGATTTTACTTAAAATTCAATGAGAAATTTACAATTTCTAAAATACATTGCTTTAGAGTAAAGTATGTGCTTCAGAAAACAGTCCAATTGGCTAGTAGCAAGCATTCATTTCATGCTATTAGAAAAGAAAGTAAAATGACAACGCACTAGACAGACACAAGTTATTGAGGAAACCATTTGTAATTTGTAATAATAACCCAAACATAGAGAGCGTATCAAATTTAAAGGGTGATCTTCCCTGACATGTGAGACGGGAAGAAAAACTACTAATTTTGAAACCATCAATATAGTATATAAAACACACACACACACACACACACACACACACATATATATTACCTCCTGTCCTAAATATAAGAGCTGGGGTTTTTTTAAGGCATAAATACAAGATCTAAATCTACTTTGTTTCCCATATTTATAATTCATCTCCCAAACTCTCCTTACACATATTAAGGGACATTCATCAAGAGGTAGTTTCTAATGAAAATAACCATAGGGATATTTTAAGAAAATCAATACGCATTTTTTATAAACAACTTAATTAATTTTCTTAATTTTTACAAATTAGTTAACTAACTTTCGTATTTAAGACTCTAGAGGGAGCAAATTTATAATAAATGGCACTGTTCAGAAATTATTAACAGCAAGACTCATTCCTCAGATTTCATATATATATGAATATATGAATGATAATTATGGGAGTGACTTGGGTCCATGAAGCACAAAGACACAAAAGATAAAACTAGCAGATGCTATCTGTATACTTACTTGGATTTACACCGATCATCGTCCCTTTTCGCTCGATCAAAGAGAAGGATGGTAAGAAATATGACATAGAAGTAAGGCAACAACTGCATCAAAAAGGAAAAAGAAAAGATAAAGATAAGATTTAAGATTTTATATGAAGTTACAATTTACAACTCATACAGATTACAGAATAAATAGTTAAATACACTCTTACATGATTGAATAGAGCAGGAACTGTCCAAAAGAAAGCAGAAAGTATTTCTGGGACATAATGGAAATGACGAGATAAACCCCACCTGGAGATATCAAAGAAGGAACTGGGCCATCAAAAGCGGAAGAAATCTAATCTAAGAAAATAATATGTTGAAAGAATACGACTACGGAATGATTTTAAGCCCACACGTACGGTATGCATTTATTATCAACAACAAATAATATAGAATCATAATATGTACAACTATAATATACATAAAATCAATTGTCTCAAAAACAAATGGTGTCTTAAACTCCTCCTGGGAGACAGGTATTTTGAGCAACATTTCATTATCACCATTTCATGTTTACAATATTTTGAGCATAAACTTACCACCCAGATGTTAAAAGAAGGCTGGTTTTTGTTTCTCCAGTAGTGGTGGTGTACGAGGCCTCTATCTGCAAAGGCATAATCACATCAAATCCAACAGAAAATACTTATTTTAGAAGATATAATGCATTGTAAAGAAAATACACCCCAGATAACCATAATGTAAATGCCATGACTTCACACCTTTGATGGAGGTTTTCCCCAGACTAAGCATTTTCCATTCGTGTGGCGAAATTCTTGCCTTTGCCTATCACAATCATAGTTGATGTATATGCAGAGAATGCCAGCCACAAGAATAAAGATTGCAAGCTGGAAGATAAGGATAGACATTTCAGAGAGAGAGAGAGAGGAGGCCTTATAAAGAGTGAGTGTCCGCTGGCAACATCAAAGATAAATTAAACAACAATTTAACCAAAAGGAGGAAATACCTGAGTTCCAAGATTTACAGGATGGTTGACAAGGTACATTCCAGGAGATGTATAAACAGATGGAACCCAGACCAAGCAGCCCCAGCAAATATAAAAACCCGCTGCCATAATATGTGTTATAAAATCCAGTGAGACAACAAATAACTTCAAATGCAATGTACATAACAAAATTAATAATAAGATTTGGCATAAGTGTCATGTGTTATCGAAATCGAATAGCTAAAATAAGAAAAACTAAGTCATAGTCATATAATTCTCCAAGCAAGTAGTCATGGTACCATCAAAAGCACTGCTGTTTGTCGCCATAACAATAACAAGGAAATATCTAGTATGCAAAACATATATAAGAATAAAGCATATATGAACCTCGGTCATGAGCAATATCCATTGTGTTCCAATATCCAGATTCCCACCAGAAAAACTTGCTAACATACACCAGCATTAATGCAGTATTTACAAGCATTGAGTCAGCCACTTTCCCAGTTTCCTCGTACTATCATTAAAAACAAAAAACAAAAAAAATACAATGATTAGAGAATAGTTGAGTGAAGAAACAAGGTAAAGCTAAAATTTCAGAAAATTCAAAAACATTCTTGATTCTCATAAAACTGGACAGATCACACACAGACACACACAGAGACATCCAAGGTGACATAGGAAGCTCAGCACGCAAAGATAAGAAAGATACCACACTAAACACAGAAGGAGAAACAACAGAAAGGAACTAGATAAAAATTTTGGCAGCAAAATTTGAGCTAATAAGACTCTTCGGTCCCATTCCGCGGTTGATAGAGGATAAACATTAACAAAAATTTAACAGCGTAAGTGTCTATACCTTATGATGGGCTACTAGACAAATCAAGTTCTCACAAGTCCAGTCTCATAATTTATAATGATGTATTGATGAACTTAAACATAACCTCCATCAAATAAAATTCAAGACATGAAAACAGTTTTATGTTCTCTGCATCTCTGCCCTAAATACACTAACAAGTTCACAAAACTTGGTTTATGAACAAACAGATCAGAGATCAGTTAGGCCAAAAATGGGGGGCAAGCTCGGTCACTGATTATAAGTGTTGGGTTTGGTAAGGCATAGACTAATTGGTATTTACTTCCCTGCTTTGTATAGAAAGTCCATAGATTAAAAGACAATCTTCAGACTTCAACTATAAACCTTTGATAGCCCCGTTCCATTTCCCTCGTCTTCAACCAATTTCAACGGGTTAAAAGCAAAACGTTATATTAGACAGCATTAGAACCACAAGTATGATGAGCCTCTCTAAGGACCCAAGAGATACATCTCAGAAGAGAAAAGACTAATTTAAATAATTTCTTTCACTCTCTTTGGGTATTAAAGAACCAAGGTATCTAAGATCAATATGCATGCTAAAACTGGATCAAGAGACAGCAATCAATGCTCCAAATAATCTTAAACATTAATAATTAATAATATTAGAAAGTATGGAATTCTCTCTTGTATTCAACAAAGCAAAGCGTATGGGTCCCTTTGCACAAGGAAGGCTACTTCAGGAGACAAAATTACAACAAGGCCACCAGGTGCTAATGAAATAACTAATATACACGTGCCAAAATTCTAATAATAATTACATTATAAGAATTTCTAAAATTTTTAACATGAATGATATAAATATTCCTCCAAAAGATATGATTAGTAGATAGAGCTAAGGCCTCCAAAGCCCCAGACCTAAGGTGTTTCTACTAAAAGATGTCAATGACCAACAATGATTTCTTGCAACGGATTGATCAGCTTCTACTCAAGACAAACTAAGCATTGAACCCTAAAAACATTAATCTTGCCGTTAATGTAAGACAAGTGCTATTTAGAATGCCTTCATTTCAGCTTTCACAACACAAAAATTAAGACCCCACCTGCTTTATGCAATAGGTCAGTGCAAGAACAGCCCAAGACATCATTCCAAATCTGCAATTTGTAAAAACTTTTATGTCAAAAGTTTTCCCGATTCGTGGATAGAGCTCCATACCCTGCAGAAATGACAAGACATTTACAATTCTATAATCACATGAAAATATGCATTGTTGTGACACTAAACTACATATTCCTTTGTCTATAAATTATATAAAACATAGCTAAAGTAAAAGAGTTAATTTCCAATAATGGCAAAGATGATATTTCTTTTTAAGTGGTGGAAAAAGAAACTACAATCAGAAAATTCAAAAAATTACAAATGGAGTTTCAAAGTCCACATTTGGGCAAATGCATTGTAAATGCAACTTGAGAGAACCTTAAAGAGGAAAACTATCACTGTTTTTAAATGTTTCTAACGTAATATCTTGTTGGTTCAAAATAAACGTGCTGTTACTTAAAGATCACACTTTTCACATGCTGGTTGCAGGCCCAAATGTTCATTAAGCCTTTGGCAGAGAAGACTTATCCCAGCAGAGACAACTAACTCTGACGCTTCAGAGGCCATGGACGAGTGGTGAAGAAGTGAATTGCTAGTCAGAAGTTATGAGGAACCAAGTAGTAAAGTGCAGAGAGTGAAAGATTGAAGAATCTTTTACCCCTTAAAGACTCTAGCTTCTCAAAAGCTAGGAACTATTAGTTTTATCATTTTTCTTTTTATATCCTGGTAAATGTCGGTTGCTGTCCATTTTTACATCTGCACTGATTGTTGTTGTTTGTCCTTGTTTTTATATACAAAAGAAACGAAGTGCTCAGTCTTGTTTCTGGTGTGACAGCTCTCTTATTTACAGCAAGTCCCACTGCATGCATGGTCCACTGATGCCATGACACAGGAACAGAGGGAAATCTATCATATTATTTTTTTCTACTTTTTTCCAATTCAGTGTCTCCATCCACAATTTTTCAATACAAATGAGTAGATGATAAAAAATGACATCAGTGAAAATGTTCTCATAGGAAAAATATGCAATAAATTAGAAAAATAATTACCCAGTAGAAATCGATAATTATGTTCCCAGATGAGCCAGAATCAGTAGAAGACGGGGCAAAATGGCCCTAGGGAATATAACAGTTAGTCAGAAATTTTAATGTAAGTAGCATAGAAAACAAATGACAGGTAGCCTTTGCAACGTTAAAGTCTCACTTTCAAGTACAAGAAAATACAGAAGACAAAACTCCCGAAAATGAGTGCTGAATATATCTCCCCCAAGTGATCATACACAATGGTTGGGTTGAATGTTCCAAACCTGCAAGTGCATGCAAAATTATTGTGCCTTGTCATTGTCTGAAGGGGGCAAAAAAGGCTCACTGTTAAAAAGACAAGAGGTCTTCCTAGAAAGAGTTTGTAAGAAGGAAAGTTGAATTCAGTCACTCTGCATTTTTAGCTCGATTGCTTATGGCTTATCCTAAAACAATAAAGAAATTTACCATTCATCAAAACTTGAAAATTGAAAGAATAATCAATGCAGGGTAGGGCAATGATTTTTCTTGTTTCACCCATTACACCCATCAGATATAGTAACTACAAATTTCTTGGACAGCTTGTTGGTTTATTTGCTAGTTAAACCCAAGAAGAAATATCTTTTTTCCACAAGTAATTGTGGAACAATATATCGATTAATTTCCCCTCTCATAAGATGACCAGAAAACCAAAAGATATGAGTTCACTAACACAAAAGCCCTAGTGGCTAAAATGGAAAAAGGGGAAGACTGAAAGAAAAGCTACAATATACCAGAAAATTAATAATACATAAAGCCCCTGCTTAAACACTGCGATAATCATAAAAGGCATAGTAGGACAAATGTAACGAAGAAAAGCAACATTGTGTCAGTATGAAATGCTCTTAGTTGTGGATAGTGCAAACTTGTTATGGGGCTAATAAGTTTTGCAAAAAACATAAGACCAGAGTGTTAAGTAATGTTGGATATATATATATATATATATATATATATATATATATATATATATAATCTCACCACCATAGGCCAAGATAAGTAACCAATGTCACTACATATGCTGCCACACCATTTTCCTGTACAATATAAGCAAAAATATTTCAGAGTCACAGGCATGTGGAGAATATCAATACATAGCATATAAGCCAAACAAAGTAAGAAAGAAAATAGCAGAGAGCCGGAAACTGCATCATTTTAAAAAAAAAATAACAACAATATTTTGTATGTCTTAGCGGAAGCTATGCATGAAAGCTAAAACAGAAACTGATTATGCTGGTGATAATCAGAGCATGAACAACCTTGTACACAGGTCGGTTTCCAGTAGGAGAAATGGGGCCCTCGACCCTTTTACCAGGTAAAAGAAGTTGAAGTGCCGCTTCAAATGCAGCATAGACACCAATAATTTTCCAAGCCGTGGCTGTGGGTCTGGGCCATATGTTAAGAAATCCTTGCAGCCCATTCTGTTTCAAATAATCCCAAGTCTGTAAAACAGACCCGTCGGCTTGTGTCATTGTATACCATCTGCATTAAGTAGAAAATCTATATAAATCCATCCATCAAAATCAGAGTTGAGTAAACTTTGATCTGTATGATTTGGCCCCACGAAAGCCAGCCAATTAATCAGACCGACTGAATGTTATTATATAATTAAATTTATTCATAGCACTGTAATAGAAAGCAACTAAGGTTAGTCCATGCAAGAAATCGATGAAGCTGTCCGCTCTACTTACTGTAACAGCTCAACTGAAAAGAATGATAAATGTACAAAATCAAGTTCCTAGCCTCTGGTACGGGAGTATCTGGTGAAGTAGATGAGAATCAAAGGAAAAGATCCGAAATCGGCGTGCGTCAACCGTTGATTCACTAATCTCTTATCTTACAGTTAGCTTAGTGCATTTGCTGATAAAAATTCTGAAAACTATCCAGTTTGGATTACCTTATTCAATGTTTTTAAAACATAAACATGAAACGAAGGAAGTTAAGCTCGTTTTGGAAGATTAAGAATTCTAATGTTGACACTGCATGAGTTCAGATTTAATAACAAACAAAGGAAATCATCATGCTACCATGAAAATTGATGTAGAAGACTCATTTCTATCACACATCAAGTCCAGAGGAACATAAACATAAAAGAATATGAGGAAAGTAAGAACAGAGAAGCAGCGAAAATCGCAGCAAAGAAAGAGAAAAAGCGAAAATGGAAATGAAGCTCACAGGAGGATTACGAATGGAGGACAAAGCGTGACAAGAGATAACATCGAAAAGTAGGTCAGAAGAGGCGAGTGTACGGTCTTCGACTCCGCCATTGCGATGGCCCTGTGAACGCGCACTATGAGTTCACTTATTCCAGATTTTGATTTGATTTCGTCAAGCAGACTTGGGGAGGACCATATCCCAGCTCACAAGTCACAAGCTCTAAGTGCGGAATATCGCCAAAGCCCCTCCTTTTTTAAGATAATTAACGTCTTTCCCCACTTCTTCTCTAATTTTTAACAATTTTGTTTTTTTGGTACCAAAGCATAGGTATCTTTTTATTGAAAACAATCTTATTCAAAACACTATTAGGTACTAAATGTGAACAACTCTTCCGGTAAAAATTTAGACGTTGATTTGTCAAATTATGAGATAGTAATTCCTTACACTAGATTCAACTCCTGTTGATTTTTAACCTTTGTTTTTTTAATAAAAAGACAACTAATCAAAACTAAGTAAAATGACACATAAATTATTCGACCGTTTTCCATAATAAAGCGTAATAAAAACATAGGAGCCACCTAAAAACTAAAAGGAAGATGGAAAATAACAATAAGAATGTTAGAACAAAATGGAAAAGAGCTTAGGTCGGCTTGGTACCAAGTAAGAGGCATACACAAGCAAAGAGTAAGGTGACCACGTACAAAGTAAGCATCAAGACACTTGCAAACCACTTTAAATGACCACATAGGTCCTGAAAATCTCAACAAGCTTCGCTCCTTCTTCTGAACTAACTACAAGAGCAAGACTTCGAAGCTAAAAAAAGGGTTAAGGTGCAATTTTAACAACAAAGGTTACCCGAAAGAGCACTGGGCACCATAAAGTTTATTTGGGTGCAAAAATATACATGAAGTTGTCAAAAGGGAGCATCTGGCACCATGCCGTTAACGTCCGTCAGTTTACCGTTAGAGGGGCCCAGAAAGTCAGTTTTAAGGTGCATTTTTAACAACAAAGTTTGCATCAAGGGGCATTAGGCACCATGAAATTTACTTGGGTGTAAAAATATACATGAACTTTGTAAAAGGAAAAAAATAACAAAATTCTTCAACCTCCATAAACATCCATTAATTTTATTCTTTTTGGTCTCACCAAATGCTATATTTTCTCTCTATAAATTTCCACTTCCAAGCCGATCCATCTTTCTCTCATCATAGTCAACATGCACACTCTCTCTATCATGTTGTTTTCTGAGCCTCCAAGCCTTTTATATGTATTTAAGCAAAACACATATTTCTCTTCTAGGATATGACGTTTATTGCTTGCATCCAAGTACTACCTCCAGTCCTTAATATAGGATGCAATGGACTAATTTGAGGAGATTAAAAATAAATAAATAAATTACTTTAAAATATTATATTTATTGTTTTTTCTCCAAATTAATTTTCTTGGCTTGTAAACTAATATATAATTTAATGATGCATATAAATATTTTAGAGAGATCATGTACTATATGCTATTGCGTCAAATAAATAAATAATATAATATTTAAAGTAATTTATTTATTTATTTTAATCTCCTCAAATTAGTCCATTGGATCCTATATTAAGGAGACTGGAGGTAGTACTCGGGTGCAAGTAATGAACCTCATATCCTAAAAGGGAAAGATGTGTTTTGCTTAAATATATATAAAAGACTTGGAGGCTCAGAAAACAACATGACAGAGAGAGTGTGCGTGTTGACTATGATGAGAGAAAGATGGATCGGCTTGGAAGTGAAAATTTATAGAGAGAAAATATAGCATTTGGTGAGACCAAAAAGAATAAAATTAATGGATGTTTATGGAGGTTGAAGAATTTTGTTATTTTTTTCCTTTTACAAAGTTCATGTATATTTTTACACCCAAGTAAATTTCATGGTGCCTAATGCCCTTTGATGCAAATTTTGTTGTTAAAAATGCACCTTAAAATTGACTTTCTGGGCCCTTCTAATGGTAAACTGACGGACGTTAACGGCATGGTGCCAGATGCTCCCTTTTGACAACTTCATGTATATTTTTACACCCAAATAAACTTTATGGTGCCCAGTGCTCTTTCGGATAAACTTTGTTGTTAAAATTGCACCTTAACCCCTAAAAAAATCGATGGTAGAACGACCTTAAAAAGTCAGCGATGCAACCACTTTAAGATGACACAATATCATAACCCCACAAAGAACTTCTCGAAGACATTAATTATAGAAAACCGCTATGCCATCCGAGACACTAAGGCTTGGAGGACGCTGCTGAGGCAAAAGAAGATAATAAGTTGTAGTCATAAAGAACCAACCGCAATGCAGTCCAAGAATCAAAATCAAAGCTTGAATAACAATGTAAGAGGCTAGCATGCAACCTAGACAACACTAACACAACCAGCAAAAAATAAAAATAAAAAAAAAGACACCAAAAGGCAAAAAATAATAACCCTGCAAGATGGACCTCTAAGAGATTACAAGTGAACTTACAAGCCCTTTTTTAGTATCGTAAACATTTGCCAGGCTTTTTGACATAAGCTCCATAAGAACCATCAAGAGGCTCCATTAGTGGAGATGAACAATATCTCCTACTTCTATTCCTAGTAGGCTCCTATGGAAAGCCAGAAAAGATTGCTAATGCTTTCCGTGGAAAGCCAGAAAAGATTGCTTAGGAGATACTACCTCCAGTATTTAAGATGAGAGCTAATTTCACTTTCAATTTGATCATAAACATAAGACCCCGATCTATTTTGTGTCATTTTCATTTATTTTTTTCAAAGTAATCCTTGTAATAGTTGTGCATATTAAAGATTTCATCAAATAGTAATTTTAGCTAATACAAATGATTGGCAACACATATTTATTACAGATAACTAACTTAACAAACTTTTTTAATCTCATTAAATTAGTCAACTCGTTCTTATATTAAGGACCAGAGATACTATGAGCTTTTCTACTCCAATATCACTAGTATGATCCTTCCAAGAAAAAGTATTCCAACAGATTCTTGATCAATGGGCAATTGGTACGTTGCATGGAGTAACAAGCTTGGTTCGCTTCAAACTGAAGCTTTAATGATCGTCTCCCACGTGCGCTTCCTCTTTGCATCAATTAGAAGGAGAAGAAGTAAGTGAAGGCACTAGAACCGATAATATGGATTGCACCCACAAGTCCAACCCGTCAAAAATAATGGGTTAGGGTTGGTCAAAAGCCAACTTGTTACTATCTCAAAAAATATAACCCGCATCGTCATAACTTGAACCCACGGTGGGTAGGCGCCTATTTTTTTTTTAAAAATAATAATAAAAGCAAAAGTAAGGTAGACTTTCATTTCAAACTTCATTACCATTAGAAATAATTAGATAAAGAGGGTTATTTAGTGTTGCTCGTTGGTTTCATTGGAAAAAAATGTGTGAATTTGTGTATTATCATATTGAGAAATTGGACAATTATATATTATTTGTATTTCATTGTGTTGTAATTTTTATTTGAATATTTATAATATTTTATATTATTTCTAGTGTTTTTTTTATTATATATAACTGCTAACATGTAAAAAAAACAAGGGAAAAAAAAGCAAGAAGGAAAAAAAATATAAATTTTGGCAGGTTGGTGGGTTTTGCCAACCTACCAGTCCGTGACCCGTCACGGGTCAACCCACAATTTTACCCACAGAAGCTACAGGCACAACAAATTTTATGATCTTGTCACATGGGCTTAAATTAGTTTTATCAAAGGAAGGAGATCACGTGTCCCCAAAAACCATATTTTTATATTAAGCTAAAATTACTCATCGGGGGTTAAATTAGTTTTCTTTTCCTTATTTCTGGTGCGAGATCTCATCTCTCAACTCCATAAAACTTAGCGGGGGAAATTATATATTAGGATATATAGAATATTTAGAAAAATAACACATTTTGAAACTAAAATGTTTGTGAAGGAAAAGAGTCATCAAATAAAATTCTTCAAAATCGTCATTAAGTTTCCCAAAAAAAAAAAAAGAAGAAGAAGAAGCACTCATAAATCAATGTATATCAAATATTATAATTCATGTATTTACTTTTTAGTAGAAGATAAAGATCAATGTATTTAGAATAATTTAATTCATATTCCTAAATTTACAATAATACATGTATCATAGTGATTCCTAAATTAGATATTTAATTAAGTGATAAATTTACATTTTTTTGGACAACAATCTTCTTCTGTAAGTTTACAAATACGAAAGACGTACAAAATTATATATTACCTCCAGTTTTTCATGTAAGAGCTAGTTAGAGGATGAATTTTGTCCTAAATAGAAGACCTCAACTCTATCTCTAATTTTTCCCATAATATTCCTATTGATTATAAGGGGTTCACATTAAGGGATAATTCCAATGATTCAATAGATATGATTTAAAATGATAGTTTAGGGAGATCAACACACATTTGTTACAAATAACTAATTTAACTAATTTTTTTAATATTTCCAAATTAATTATCTAATACTTATATTAAAAATCGGAGACAGTAAGGGAAAAAAAAGATGTAAAAATATAAAGCATATTATCCTTCCCCTTATTCCTCTCCACTTCACCAGTTCTATTACTTACATTCTCATTAATTCTATGCCAATTTTTTAGTATTAGGCTAGATTTAATGTCAAAGGATTAGATTAGAGTATTTTCTATGAAACAATGGAGTGTGGTAGTAATTTAGATGAAAATTCTTTGAAACTTATCAAATATAGGTTTTGGTAGGCTCAAAATGTCACATTTCAAAAATTTTCATTTGGCAATAAAGGATCAAAAATTGGGATGAGGGTCAACGTAGGAACTAGATGGGGAGATGAAACTACTTTTGATATTAAACCCCGAAAAGGTCCGAACTGGCATTTTCGTAATTATCGATCTAAGAATGGCAAAACAGGAAAATTTGAGAAAAATTCCAGAAAATCCCTGAAAAATGAGAAAAGTATAGAGTAGAGGTTTTGGAAACTCGGTTGAGATCCGAAAAGTGGAATTTCATTAAAAATGAATTATCACGGAATTTCCCGTAAACGGAGATTTTCAGAAAATTATTAGAAAAATGAAGGAAAATAATTATTTTAATGAGTTAAAGG